CCTCCCCCTCCCCCTGACGACTCACATTGCGAACAGAAAGGTTAGTGTGACCTAACCTCACCTGCTCCTAAAACGCCTCACGTCAAACCTGTGAGGCCTCGGTTGCCTGGGAGGGATCAAAGGGCCGCACTTCAGCGGCGATCCACTTCCCCCTGTACAGCACACGGCCCTTCTTGAAACCCGAAAGGACCCTCCTTCCCCAGACTCCTGGCGGGCCACAACCCCTGCCGAGTTTGAGGACCTGGGCTCCAACGGCCGTGCTGGCGCCACAGCGGGCGCAAAAAACTCCGTTGACAAAACTGTCGTTGCTAATCCAACGACGCAACGCATGCCCTCCGTCCACCACCCGAGCTCTCCCACTCTCCGACGTCAGGGGCACGACGGGTGGAGCGGGGGCGGCGGCGGTGGCGGCGCCGGTGGCGGTGGCAGCTGCGGCCGCACGCGCCTCCCTGCGGGCGCGGCGCGCGGCCTGCAGCTGCGTCTTGGACAGGTGCTCGCGGTCGACACGCACCTGTCGGGCACCTGCCTTGGCCACCTGGCGGGCCACACTGGAGACGAACACAGTGGCCTGACGGTGGCGCAGCCGATGGGCAAGCTCGATCCTTCCTGCACTGGCGACCTTCTTGGCCCAACGATCGGCTCGCTCGTTGCCAACAACACGGAGCGACAGGCTCGAAACACGTCGCTGCTCGAGAGTGGCATGGCTCTTGACTTTGACAATCCAGAGGTCCCCCCCCTCAACCAGACCACCCCAGTCCTCGACACGAGCCCACACCAACTCCCAGAGATCTGCATGAGCACTGCGTGGGTCAGTGCACTGAAACTTGCCTCTCTTCAAGAGGCCGTCCACGACAAATTCGCTGTCACTGCACAGGGGGCCGAGCAACTCTGAGCCCTTGCAGGAGGGCCATCAGCTCAGCCCTATCAATGCACTGCACAGGGCCCTCGAGCCCACCTGCCAGTACAGCGACTTTCTCGAACGAGCTGGCAGCGACTGGGGGCGGCGGCGTTGGCAGCATGGCAACGACAGCCCATCCCGCCACACTCGCCCAGGGAATATCGTGATCCAAACGGGAGCCATCCAGAAAGAGGTCCCCCGTGAGGTCTTCCGAGGCTCCTAAGTACATCTGAGTGGGGGCAGGCGGTGGCATCACAGGCTGGCGGTTGAAAGGCAGGAGCGCACGACTGCCGAGCAGCTCGACTAACTCCGAGGGCTGGCTCGGCATCTTTCACCCCAACGCACCTTCGGGCGCCAGGCCTGCTGACACGAGCCCGTCGCAGCCAAAGTGCCTGTGATAGAGGGTGCCTGGCCGCTCGCAGCACACCTGACAGACATCCGTGTCAACAAAATCAGCTGCATGCAACCTAGCCTGAGACCATTGCCCGCCAGCAAGCGCTGACCTGAGGTAGGCTTTTTCCTCGGGGTCGAGGGGGGGGGGCAACGCCCGAGGAGGGAGACGAATGGTTCAATCAAACAGCCTTGGGCGATCTCGGGTAACTCCAAAGTGGCGCTCACCTGGGCCCACTGCCAAGCCTCACAGACCTGGTCGAGCACCCATCGGATAGAGTGCAGACAGAGCTCCGACGGGTTAAACTCCAGGCCCCAGGGAAGCTTCCACCAGTAGACCCCATCAAACTCGATGCGTAACCGATGCAGGGTCGCTGCATAGGCTGAAAACGGGCCCGAGATACTCTGCCAAGGGTTACCAGACGCGGACTTGGCACTCTGCTTTCGCCTGCTGCAGGCCTTGCTGAATTACATGCCTCGGGATCCAACCTTTTTTTCCACGCGACTATCATGGCGCACAAAGGCTCGGCGGACGCTTGAAAATAGGATCCACACGGCGGCCTGGGCATGTGAGCAGACGAAGGGTGAGGGAGGAGGAGGAGGAGGTCGGCCCCTGATTTGCCACTAGCTGGCGCAGCCGATGCAACTCCTGATTGTTCGTGCCTGTGACACTGCTGCCATACCCAACACTGGTCTCAGCAGTGGCTTTGGCAATGCGAACGATGACTCGGCGACGCTTGGCCTGGCGAAGGACCTTGATGCGACGCCCTCGCGCCGTGGCGGCCTTCAGCCTGTCGCGCTTGGTACCCCTCCCCATCCGACGCCCCGATCAAGAGTCCACCCCCAAGTTCCTCTCAGTGCGCGCGGGGCATCCACCTAAACAGGCGAGCTCGACCGCGAGCGCCTGCCTCAAGGAAGCCGTGCTGCCTAAGAACCTGGTTTTGTCCGACGCAGTCTTTAAATCATACTTCGTGAGTTGCTGCTGCAGGGCGTGACCAGCCTGTACTAGGGCTTCTTTCACCCTGTGCTCGGCCCCGAAACGCTGGGCACCGACGTCATCCACCACCGTGGACAGGAAAACCGAAGGCTCAATCTTTCGAACTTCGTCCAGCGGGCGGAGGAGGATTAACTGCAGCATCAACGTAGCGAAAACACACCCTGGGAGGACGCTCTGCTCCGGGCAGACCATTGGCGAAATGTACGACCCCATGTCAAGGATGCGAGGCTGCCTGTACACAGATATCATCAGCAAAAACAAAAGGCGCATGGGGAAACCTGTGGCTTGGGCTGCTGCCACCAAGTGGTGATGGCGGACCAGCTCGAACGCCTTTTTTAGATCGACCAGGATGGTGCCCGAGCAGAGGCCACGCCCATGGGCCCATTCAGCCCACGCGGCCTGCACCCACACGCATTTGTCAGCTGCCTTGCCTCGCGTTCCCCAGGTGAAGCTACGGTAGTTGGCGGCCTGCCAGCGGGTGATCTCGCCACGCCGCAGCCGACACAACGCACGCGCCGAAACGTGCAGGAGAGCGATCGGCCGAACGCCTCCGAGACGTTTGGCGAGAGAAAAACGACCTTGGTCCACATCTTCGGCCACTCGAGCCTAACCTCAATTTGATGCAGCAGCTCGCAAACGACTTCTAGACCCTCGGGGCCTAAAGCAGGACATGCCGATGATTCACACAATCATAGCCTTGGCCCTTGTTGGGCATAAACGTTTTTAGCACTTGCTGCAACTCGGCCACAGAAGGTTTGGGATGCACACACGACAAGTCAGGCCAAACCAAAGCGGGGTGCACCTCAGAAAACACACCACCAGGCTTCCCAATCCTTCTGCAGCTGCTCAAACTGCTCAGCTGTTCCCATGGGAACGTAGTCTACAGTGGCCTCATCAGGGGTCCAACCATCGGGGACCTTCGTGAAACTAAAAAGCGCTGGGGCCCCTTGCACATCAGTGTGTTTGTCCACCCGAGCCTCCCAACCTTTCTCTTTGGCTCGCTGACTAGCCTGGACAGCTTGGTCAGCTTGCCGTTGTGCAAGGGCCTTGAGCAGACGGTACTGCGTGGCGTCAAGAGTGCCAGCTTGCAGCAGGTTGCAGAGACCGACTGCCAGGGGGCATCGTCGCGGGACCGCTCCAGAGCGGCACAGCTTCAGAAGCCGTTGCTGCCGTGCATGCGCCGTCCAGCTTCCTGCGGTCACTTCCAGGTCCATGAGCGCCTGACTGAGGCCCTTCCACCAGATCGCTTCAGGGCTGAGGGCGGGGTAGGGCACCGAACATGGCCGCGGCGGCCGCATGAACTTCTGCTGCAGCTCGTTCGCCCGACCCTGGTACTTCTGCGCGTCCTGGGGGTCGATGTCGAAGATGTTGACCCACCTCTGCTCTGCGAACTCGATGAACTGCTGCCACGTGTCATTCACACTCTTGGTCTCGACATCCTCGATCACGCTCTGCCAAGGCGGCTCCTCATACTGACGCTCACATCCAATCGGCCTGTCTTTGGGAAACTTCCGTGGGGTGACAACCAACCTGGCCAGAGGAGCCCGCCTGGGGACGTTCAGGGTCAGCTTGACGGGGCGATGCGGGCTGATGGCAACGCCATCCAAGATTGTGACCTGTGCCTTCGATGCCAGGAACCTGCTGACCACGAAGAAATCGATGATCCTCTCCGAGGGCCTGACTGTGCCGCGCGCAGGCGCGATTCTCTCCCCGCCGATGCCATCGACCCACCCCGACTCCTTGAGCGCCTGCGGGGTGATCTGCCAGTCCGCATTCAAAACAAACGGGAGCCCAGTGCGCTTGATATGCCTGCCCATCTCGCACATTATGCTCCAGTCGCGTTCACTTAAACTCTCAGTGTCGTGGAGGTAGAGGGTGCCGACGAGCATGCCGCCTTGCACCCCGTGCGCCAGGTGAAGGAGGCTGGCACGACTATCACATACGATTCTCGGTACTCCATGCACCTCACCCAACTCATAACCATTCGGCACAGCAATCATGAGGCTTCCACTGAGCCCTGTTACATTGGTGTCGGTGACGACACGGCTCACAGGCTGCACAGAAGGCGTAACCGCTGCCTTCCAACCACACGTGCGCATCTGCTTCTCATAGCTGTCCTGCTGAAACTTTGCGATCTTCACCTCCTGCGCGAACACGACATCACTGCCCTGCCAGGCCTCGGATTCACGCAGGATCTCGAGCCCAGGCCTGCTGGTGACGTTGGCAGTGAGGAACGTGAGCCTTCTGCTGCTGTCGCTACCCCAAGGTTGGGGGCGCCCAGACTGGGGCCTCTCCTCGGGGCTTCTTACGGGCGCGGATGGCCTCGCCCACCAAGACCATCGCGCGGTGCTTGACTCCTCGGGCCTGGTCCGAGTCGTCGTCCATGTCGTCGTCGTCACAGGCTGCAGCCATGGCCGCGAGCAGCCGCTCCTGGTGGCGCTCTGCCCAACGCACTGCGTCTGCGTCGGGTGGGCCAGGCAGGCCTCCAGAGCTGGCAGCAGGGCCGCCACCAGGAGGAGCGCCAGCGGCCGCCTGGGCGGACGCGGCAGGCGCGGCGGCGGGGGCCCCGCCCGCGGCGGCGGCAGCGGCGCCGAGGGCGCCCGCGGCGGCGGCGGCGGGCGGGGGCGCCGCGCCTGCGGGCGCCTCCTCAGCGCGCCGCGGCGGCGAGGCCCGCTGGGCTCGCTGGGCCTCGGCCTGGGCTGCGGCCTGCTGCACCTCCGCGAGGACCGCCTCCAGCCGCGCGGCCAGCTCGGGCGCCCCGAGCTCCTGCGCGCGGGCCAGCAGCTGCGCAGCTGGCCCCTCGCCGCCAGCCACAGGCGCACTCGCCTGCAGCGATCCGCCCACGGCTGCGATGGCCTTGGCGGCGCGGTCGGCCACCCCCTTGTGCTTGGCCTTGAGCGTCTCCAGGTCGTCCTCGCACTCCGAGAAGTACTCTGCCGCGCGCTGCAGCGCGTGCACTGCCTTGTCGTGCTTGGACTGCTGCTTGCTGATATGCTGCGTGAGCTGCTCCAGCTCTTTCTGCGATTCTTTGGACACGATCGCGGGGTCAGCTGAAGCGATGCTGCGCAGCCTGCGGATTCTGTCTCTGGCCGACTGTCCCAAGGTCGGCTCGAGAACGGCGAAAGTCTCGGCATCCATGTGCGTGTATGCTGCGAGCTGCTCTTCGGTGAGGTGATTTGCGGGCAGAGGCTCACGCTGCTGCTTGAGCCAAGGCGCACGAACCGAGGGCGGCGGGCCCTGCGCCCAGCTTCCACCAGCCTGTCGAGGGGGGCTCGGCGAGGGGCCTCCTCCTTTTGCCTTGCTGCAGCGCGCACACCGCTGCCTCCAACCATAGTTAAATTTGAAACCACAACGCTTGCCCGAGCAACACCAAGTCGTCTGCCACGCCGCCATGCACGAGTGCCCTCACTCAGAGGAAACGAGGCGAGACGGGCGTTACGTTCCCAGAGTGTGCAGTACGTGGTGCACAAAAAGCAGTGGGGGCCGCTGCTCCCCCTTGCCAAAATCTCAAGCCGCTCGAGTAAATGCCTCCAGACTTGAGCCAAAATGGCTACGGACCTCCTCCCCCTCCCCCTTCCCCTCCTGCTCCTCCTCCTCCTCCTCCTGCTCCTCCTCCTCCTCCTCCTCCTCCTCCTCCTCCTCCCCCTCCCCTCCTCTTCCCCCTCCTCCTCCTCCTCCTCCTCCTCCTCCTCCTCCTCCTCCTCCTCCTCCTCCTCCTCCTCCTCCCCGCCATCCTTCCCCGAGTATTCCCCCGCCAGGTGTCGCCGCCCCGGCGGCTCGTGCAGCAGCTCGCGGAGGAGGGCGCGGCGCTCACGCCCCAGGAGTTCCTGCTGGCGCTGCGGGCTCTGCCGCGGCGCAGCCTGGGGGAGGCTCGAAATCATCGTACGAATGACTTTGATATCAGGAGTGGAAAACCACACACACACATCGAAGAGGAAACAGCGGCATAACATAAACTTTTGGCGCTCCGCGCGGATTTCTCGGATCTGCGCTGGGCCCCCCCCGGCGGCGCCTCCAGCGCCTGCCCGTGCGCGCTCCGCGCGCCAGGGAGGGGGTCGGGCGCGGAGCCAAGAAATCCGCGCGGAGCGCCAAACATTTATGTTTACGTAGTATTTCTTCATCTAGCACGGACGCCATTGATCGTCGATCCCCAGGAAAAGATGCGAAAGCATGGGAAGTGTGTGTGTGTGTGTGGGGGGGAAGACGAAAATCCAGAAATTATCCCGGCAAAGAAACCTAACAGCGATGTGTAGGAGCATATCTGGAAGCATTCCCCTTAAGATTTAGATGAGAATCCAGTTGTAGAATTCTGCTGTTCTCGCAGCCGTAGTCGCATTCGCGATGACAGTCGCAGTGGCAACGGCAGTCGCAGTCACAGCCTCAGCCTCAGCCTGCCTCAGCCTCAGCCTCAGCCTGCCTCAGCCTCAGCCTCAGCCTGCCTCAGCCTCAGCCTGCCTCAGCCTCAGCCTCAGCCTGCTTCAGCCTCTGCATCAGTCTGCCTTCAGCCTCGGCCTCAGCCTCAGCCTGCCTCAGCCTCAGCCTGCATCAGCCTCAGCCTCAGCCTCAGCCTGCCTCAGCATCAGCCTGCCTCAGCCTCAGCCTCAGCCTGCCTCAGCCTCAGCCTCAGCCTGCTTCAGCCTCAGCCTCAGTCTGCCTTCAGCCTCGGCCTCAGCCTCAGCCTGCCTCAGCCTCAGCCTGCATCAGCCTCAGCCTCAGCCTCAGCCTGCCTCAGCATCAGCCTGCCTCAGCCTCAGCCTCAGCCAGCCTGCCTCAGCCTCAGCCTCAGCCTGCTTCAGCCTCAGCCTCAGTCTGCCTTCAGCCTCGGCCTCAGCCTCAGCCTGCCTCAGCCTCAGCCTGCATCAGCCTCAGCCTCAGCCTCAGCCTGCCTCAGCATCAGCCTGCCTCAGCCTCAGCCTCAGCCTCCTCAGCCTCAGCCTCAGCCTGCTTCAGCCTCAGCCTCAGCCTGCTTCAGCCTCAGCCTCAGTCTGCCTTCAGCCTCGGCCTGCAGCCTCAGCCTGCCTCAGCCTCAGCCTCAGCCTCAGCCTGCCTCAGCATCAGCCTGCCTCAGCCTCAGCCTCAGCCTGCCTCAGCCTCAGCCTCAGCCTGCTTCAGCCTCAGCCTCAGTCTGCCTTCAGCCTCGGCCTCAGCCTCAGCCTGCCTCAGCCTCAGCCTGCATCAGCCTCAGCCTCAGCCTCAGCCTGCCTCAGCATCAGCCTGCCTCAGCCTCAGCCTCAGCCTGCCTCAGCCTCAGCCTCAGCCTGCTTCAGCCTCAGCCTCAGTCTGCCTTCAGCCTCGGCCTCAGCCTCAGCCTGCCTCAGCCTCAGCCTGCATCAGCCTCAGCCTCAGCCTCAGCCTGCCTCAGCATCAGCCTGCCTCAGCCTCAGCCTCAGCCTGCCTCAGCCTCAGCCTCAGCCTCAGCTTCAGCCTCAGCCTCAGTCTGCCTTCAGCCTCGGCCTCAGCCTCAGCCTGCCTCAGCCTCAGCCTGCATCAGCCTCAGCCTCAGCCTCAGCCTGCAGCATCAGCCTGCCTCAGCCTCAGCCTCAGCCTGCCTCAGCCTCAGCCTCAGCCTGCTTCAGCCTCAGCCTCAGTCTGCCTTCAGCCTCGGCCTCAGCCTGCCTCAGCCTCAGCCTGCATCAGCCTCAGCCTCAGCCTCAGCCTGCCTCAGCATCAGCCTGCCTCAGCCTCAGCCTCAGCCTGCCTCAGCCTCAGCCTCAGCCTCAGCCTCAGCCTCAACCTCAGTCTGCCTTCAGCCTCGGCCTCAGCCTCAGCCTGCCTCAGCCTCAGCCTGCATCAGCCTCAGCCTCAGCCTCAGCCTGCCTCAGCATCAGCCTGCCTCAGCCTCAGCCTCAGCCTGCCTCAGCCTCAGCCTCAGCCTGCTTCAGCCTCAGCCTCAGTCTGCCTTCAGCCTCGGCTTCAGCCTCAGCCTGCCTCAGCCTCAGCTTGCCTCAGCCTCAGCATCAGCCTGCCTCAGCATTCAAAGTGTGGCCCGGGAATGGAGTTCTGGGAACTCGAAGAACACGAAGTGGCCTACAGTTGGCTCCGGGCATTCAAAGTCATGCCCAGGAATGGATTTCTGGGAACTCGAAGACCACGAAGTGGCCTACAGTTGGCTCCGGGCATTCAAAATCATGCCCAGGAATGGAGTTCTGGGAACTTGAAGACCACGAAGTGGCCTACAGTTGGCTCCGGGCAGTCCAAATCATGCCCAGGAATGGAGTTCTGGGAACTCGAAGAACACGAAGTGGCTTACAGTTGGCTCCGGACATTCAAAATCATGCCCAGGAATGGATTTCTGGGATGTCGAAGACCACGAAGTGCGTTACTGTTTGCTAAAAAGGAGTCCCCGGCATCCTCCCCCGGATCGCGCCCAGACACCCCTGGGGCGTCATGATGTTCTGTTTTGACCCTACTAGAAACCTATCAGTCTTCGCTGTTAGGTAAATAGGAGATTATCCCAGCAAGGCAACCTAACAGCGATGTGTATTACCATATCTGGAAGCATTCCCCTTAAGATTCAGATGAGAATCCAGTTGTAGAATTCTGCTGTTCTCGCAGTCGCAGTCGCATTCGCGATGACAGTCGCAGTGGCAACGGCAGTCGCAGTCACAGCCTCAGCCTCAGCCTGCCTCAGCATCTCAGCCTCAGCCTCAGCCTCAGCCTGCCTCAGCCTCAGCCTCAGCCTGCTTCAGCCTCAGCCTCAGCCTCAGCCTCAGCCTGCCTCAGCCTCAGCCTGCCTCAGCCTCGGCCTCAGCCTCAGCCTGCCTCAGCCTGCTTCAGCCTCAGCCTCAGTCTGCCTTCAGCCTCGGCCTCAGCCTCAGCCTCAGCCTCAGCCTGCAGCCTCAGCCTCAGCCTCAGCCTGCCTCAGCCTGCCTCAGCCTCAGCCTCAGCCTGCCTCAGCCTCAGCCTCCTCAGCCTCAGCCTCAGCCTGCCTTCAGCCTCGGCCTCAGCCTCGCCTCAGCCTCAACCTGCATCAGCCTCAGCCTCAGCCTCAGCCTGCCTCAGCATCAGCCTGCCTCAGCCTCAGCCTCAGCCTGCCTCAGCCTCAGCCTCAGCCTGCTTCAGCCTCAGCCTCAGTCTGCCTTCAGCCTCGGCCTCAGCCTCAGCCTGCCTCAGCCTCAGCCTGCATCAGCCTCAGCCTCAGCCTCAGCCTGCCTCAGCATCAGCCTGCCTCAGCCTCAGCCTCAGGCCTCAGCCTCAGCCTCAGCCTGCTTCAGCCTCAGCCTCAGTCTGCCTTCAGCCTCGGCCTCAGGCTGCCTCAGCCTCAGCCTCAGCCTGCAAAATGTGGCCCGGGAATGGAGTTCTGGGAACTCGAAGAACACGAAGTGGCCTACAGTTGGCTCCGGGCATTCAAAATCATGCCCAGGAATGGAGTTCTGGAACTCGAAGAGCACGAAGTGGCCTGTTGGCTCCGGGCATTCACCCAGGAATGGAGTTCTGGGAACTCGAAGACCACGAAGTGGCCTACAGTTGGCTCCGGGCATTCAAATTGTGGCCCGGGAATGGTGTTCTGGGAAGTCCAAGAGCACGAAGTGGCCTACAGTTGGCTCCGAGCATCCAAAATGTGGCCCAGGGATGGAGTTCTGGGAAGTCGAAGAGCACGAAGTGGCCTACAGTTGGTTCCGAGCATCCAAAATGTGGCCCGGGAATGGAGTTCTGGGAAGTCGTAGAGCACGAAGTGGCCTACAGTTGGCTCCGGGCATTCAAAATGTGGCCCGGGAATGGAGTTCTGGGAGGTCGAAGAGCACGAAGTGTGTGACTGTTTGCTTAAAACGAGCCCGGCCCTGAGCCCGGCCCTCGCTGTCCGGATGCCGCCCAGACCTTCCTTCTGAGTCATCAGATGCTCTCTTTTGACACCACTAGAAACCTATGAGTCTTCGCTGTTAGGTAAAAATGTGGGGAATCTTTGGATTTGTGTGTATTTATGTTTGTGTCCCAGGGCCCCTTCACGATATTGATATTATTGCTATGTTCAAACAGACGAATGGTACTGACAAGTTACCTCCCCCGCTGGTTTTGCGCACGCGCGAGCTTTGCCCCGCTAAGTCCCCGTTTCTCTTCCCTTCCTCCTCCTCGCCTGTCATCTCGCGTGGCTCGGTAAGCTTGTGGCCGCTCTGTTGCCTGCCTGCTCTGGTTCCGGACTCGCCACAGGATAACGCGGAGCTGTGTGTGGCAGTCGTCGCATTGCAATGTTTTTGCGCTTGTTTGTTCTCCTCCTCCTCCTCCTCCGCCTTTTCCTCCTCCTCCTCCTCCTCCTCCTCCTCCTCCTCCTCCTCCTCCCCCCCTCGCCTCCTATCATCGTGTTGTGCATACGCAGTATTGTTGGCCGTTTGGGCCTGGGGAACTCTTCACATGCCGCACGTTCGCTTCCTCTGTAAGGCCAAGATTCACTGCATGAGTGCGCCTATCGCAGAGTGGCTCGTGTGAGGTTCCCTGTTTGCCTGGCGACTCGTTGATTCGCACAGCGAGGAGTTAACCTACTCATCTCGATGATAGGGCTTGGGTGCAGCTTTCGAAGCGTGGTTGTTTAACTGGGCGCGCGCTTCTGTGTGGCAGTATCCTTGTTTTGCTTCAAAGAACAATCACCCCAGCCAAGTACTCTAATAGCAGCAAAGGTGAAGAGGCGAGTTGAGGAGTAGTAGGCTGGCTAGTGAAAACGTGCATTCCTAGGTACTTTTGTACATTCCTCAGCGTGACAGGGGTGAGATCACGGCCACGTGCACCTTGGTGTGTTTTCTCAAAAGGGATCGTGGCCGCGTGACAGGGGTGAGAGCACGGCCATGTTGTACTGCAGTGTCTTTTCTACAACGGACCGTGGCCGTGTGACAGGGTGAGAGCACGGCCATGTGCACCGTAGTGCGTTTGTTTACAAGGGGTCGTGGCCTTGTGACAGGGGGGCTGGAGCGCGACCATTTGCACGGTGGTGTTTTTTTACACGGGATCGTGGCCGTGGGGCGGGGATGACGGCACGGTCGTGTGCACCGTTTTTTGTTGTTGGGTCGTAATTAGCCGTGTGCTATGGGTGACGGCACGTCCCTGTGCACGGTCGCTGTTCTTCTGTGAAAGGGATCGTGGCCGCGTGACAGGGGTGGGAGCACGGCCATGTGCACCGTAGTGTTTTTTTTTCAGCGGACCAAGCATGCAGCTGGCATTGGGGCGAGAGCACGGTCGATCCCCGAACGAATTGTGGGGAGGTCTCAGGCGAAACGGCGATTCCGCTACCTCTCCTCGTCCCCGTGTGGGACTTCTGTGTGGTCCTGTTTGGCCACTGTCAGAGCCCTTACCGCATTCGCTATTGGGGATCAAGTCATACTGATCATAGTTAATATGAAGACGACTTAGCATACTCATAATAGCCTGAGCAATGCTAAGGGAATGCTTTTTTTGGAAGAGCATGCATAGAACAAACGGCATGAACAGAACTTTCGGATGTCCGCGCCGAATTTCTCGGATCGGTGCTGGATACCCCTCCCTGGCGCGCGGAGAGCGCCAGGGGCGGCGCCAGAGGCGCCGCCAGGGGGTCCAGCGCCGATCCGAGAAGTCTAGCGCTGACCTCCGATTCTCTCCACGCCGTCTTTGTTTCTTTGGAGGCTCCGGACTGCGCCCGCTCGATCGCCGGCATGGCCACGCGGGTGATGAGGACGCCGGCTGCGGGCATGCCAGGGTCCGCCGCCAGGGCATGTGTCGTGTCCACCGCGTCGGGGTCGTGGCCCCCCCCTTAGGGCCTCGAGGCGTGGAGGCCGTGGGAGACGTGGAGCTCCGGCGATCTTGCCTTTTCCAGTCCTGGCGCGTCTCCTCGAGGCTGGCCTCCGGGGCCCGCCACCGGGCCCCAGCACCATCAAGACTGGGCCTGGGGCGGAAAAGTTCGACCATGCGTCCTCGGACGAAAAAATCCGCTCCAGAGCGTTCCGGAACGCTCCCAGGACGTTCCGGGACGCTCCGAGAAGGCCGCGACGCCCGAGACATCCTCGATGGCCGCCAGATCTCAGAGATTCTGGATTGATCCTCACGCGATTTTGTTCTCGTTCTGGCTTCCTCCTGCGTCAGCGTGGTCTCCGTGGATCGCTGGATGCGATGCGGTGGCAGCGGCTCGTATGCGCCCAGGTGTGGCGCCCCCGCCCACCCCCCTCCGAAAGCCGCGCGCCCAGGGGCACCCGTGCTTGCGTGCAGCCCAGAATTACCCCAGGGGTGGAGGGTTTCTCCGAAGGGTTTCGGCGACCCGTCCTCCTCCTCCTCCTCCTCCTCCTCCTCCTCCTCCTCCTCCTCCTCCTCCTACTCCTCCCTCCTCCTCCCACCTCCTCCTCCTCCTCCTCCTCCTCCTCCTCCTCCTCCTGGGCTGTGCCACTCATTAGCTGCGCACCCCCCTGGCTGTCGAGGTCGTGCACCTTGCTTCCGAGGAGAGCCGAACCGAACCGAACCTCCTCCTCCTCTTCCTCCTCCTCCTCCTCCTCCTCCTCCTCCTCCTCCATCTCCTCTTCTCCCTCGCCCACGGGTCTCCCGTCGTTGGGTGTAGCACGGCCCCAGTCTCAGCCTGGCCCTGCTGGTGAAGGCGGGTAGCGGCGCCTGTGCGGTCATTTGGAAGAGCGTGTTCTACCGCTGCTGGCGGAAAACCGGGGGGGTCACTACTGGTTCGAACCTCTCCCCCCCCCTCCGGAAAACCGGGGGGGGTCACTACCGGTTCGAACCCCTCCCCCCCCACACTTCATCATGAAAAGGGGGGGGGTCACTACCGGTTCGAACCCCCCCCCCTCGAAAACTGGGGGGGTCATTACCGGTTCGATACCCCCCCCCTCTCGAAAACCGAGTGGTGGTGCGGACAGTGGTGCGGACGGTGGTGGTGGGGACGGTGGTGAGGGGACAGCGGGACAGTGGTGGGGACAGTGGGACAGTGGTGGGGACGGTAGTGGTGGGGACAGTGGTGAGGACAGTGGTGGGAACAGTGGAGACAGTGGACACTGGTGGGGACGGTGGTGGTGGGGACAGTGGTGTGGGGACAGTTGGAATGAGGTGGAAACAGTGGGACAGTGGAGGGTACAGTGGTGGTGGGGATGGTGAAGGCGGTGGCGAAGACTGCGGTGGGACAATGGGACAGAGGTACAGTGGGGACAGTGGTGGGGACAGTGGGGGCAGTGGTGGGAACAGTGGGGCAGCTCAGTGGGACAGCGGAGGAGTCAGTGGGACAATGGGGACAGTGGGGGTAGTCGGGGAGTGGTTGGGGCCGTGGAGAAAGTGGGGAGTGGAACCGTGGTGGGAACTGGTGGGGGCAGTGGGGACAGTGGGGACAGTGCGACAGTGGTGAGGGCACTGGTGGGGACAGTAGGGGCGGTGGTGGAACCAGCGGGGACAGTGGTGGTGAGGACAGTGGTGCTGGGAACAACAGTGGCGGATGTGATGCGGACGGTGGTAGGGGCCGGGAGTCGTTTGCTGGCGGTGAGTGGGGGGGGGGAGGGAGGGGGGTTTCGAACCGGTAATGACCCCCCTCGGTTTTCGAGGGGGGGGTTCGAACCGGTAGTGACCCCCCCGTTTCAGGGGAAATGGGGAGGAGGGGTTGGGGGAGGGGGTGGTTGCCGGGTAGGGGAAGGGGGTGGGTCCTAAAAAGGGGGGGATTTCGGAGGGGGGGGGGGGGGACCTCCGGGTTCCGGGGGAAGAGGGGGGCAATTTTCCACAGTAGAGCGGCGGTGGATCACGCTCTCTCGGTAATTTCATTGTGATCTGACCCTCAGGGATCGGCATTTCCTAGGGAGGCGGTGGCTTGTGCCACGTGAGTCCCAAGGGGCCTTGTGCCCACCCAGGGCAGGGGAGCTTGTGCTCCTCAGTATGCCGTGCCATCTGTTCCGACTGGGATGCCTTTGGCTCCCAACGCGCCATGTCGGAACCGCTGGGCCGCGAGTCTTCACAGGCGACGTGGTCACCCCCTATGCCCTTCCTGCGCAGCTGTTGCTGCTTTCCGGGCGGTAGTTCGTTGGCTGGGCGTGTGCAATACACGGCCGGCTTTCGGGAAACCGACCCTGGGCGCCGGACTCCTCGTTGCCTCGTTGCCTCCTCGGGACGGGGAGATCCAGAGGTCCTCGCCACGGCTCACCCCGGCGCGATGGGCTTTCCATCACCAGGGGAGCGGGGCCCAGCTCACGCGCCCACCCCTCGCGGACGGCGGAGCCAGGCAAGAGAACGAAAACTTCAGACCGCGAGTACCGGAGAGGGAGGACCTCTAGGTCGCCATCTCTCCCCAGAACTCGGCGGGAACGAGCGTCTCCGCCGCCACCTCCAGCAACCCCTCCGCCCAGCCCACCCCCCGAAAGGCAAGAGGCACCGAGACGGGCGACGAGCGGCCGAGAAAGCGGCGAGAATAAGGGTCCTTGCCCTCCCTCAGGGCCCTGATGGAACGAAGACCCCACGCCGTGGGCGGCTGGCATGGCTCCCCGATCTTCAGGACCTGCTTAGCCCCGTGAGCTCCACATCGGGAGCACCAGGCCATTCCTCCCCGAAACCCACCCGCCCACCAGAGCTTATGAGACGGATGGGCGCGAGAGAGGGTGTCCGGGACGCCAGTGCAACGCCTGCTGATGAGCCTAGCTCGGGAGGCCGTCTCACGGCCGCACTGCAGACAGCACGCCTACAGTCCCGGGGGAAACCGTGCACGCCCCCCTTCCGAAAGCCGCGCGCGCCCAGGGGCACCCGTGACTGCGTGTAGCCCAGAATTACCCCGGGGGAAGCGGTCGGGACCTCCTTCGGGCCGCGCGTGCGGATAGAATCGCATGGTCCGATTCGGGGATTCACGCGTAAACGCCGCTTGGGGGATCGATCTTCGGAAACCTCGGCAGGCGCCGGATCTGGTGGATATGTTCTATGCTTATGTATGAGTTATATGATCGTGTATGTGTACAGTTTTATGTATGCTGGCATGTTTATGTATGTGTATATGTATATGTAGGTTTGCATGTACATAGATCTGTATGTGTGCATGCATGTATGTATGTATACATGTATGTATGTATGCGTGTGTATGTATGTATGTATGCGTATATGTACGTATGTATGTGTTTATGTATGTATGTATGTTTCGGTGTATGCGTGCATGTATGCACGTATGCCTGTAGGTATGCATATATATATATATATGTGTATGCACGCATGTACGTATGCATGTGTGTATATATATGTATGTGTGGGCGTATGCATGTATGTATGCATGGATGCATGCATGCATGCATGCATGTATGTATGTACGCATGCATATTGATATATGTTCGGGCCCCTAAGACCGAACTTCATCCATATCCGCCACCCGCCAGGGTCCCGCGACGTCGGCTCCACAGGCGGGGGACATGAATATAAGTGTGTGTATATATGTATATATGTATATATGTATATATATATATATACTCAGAAAGGAACATATACATATACATACATATATATATATATATATATATATAGATACACCCATTTCGCACATGAGTGACGCAAAGCAACAAGTTCGTCAGGTTCGTCTTCGCCGACATTGGCGCGTGCGCTGCCCGCGTATGGTGGCGCGCGAGCGCTCTCGTTTCCAATGTAGCGTGCTGCGCTGGCGGCCCGCGCGAGCCGCCGCGTAAGGTCGCTCTGCCGTTTTGCGTAAAACCCCTGTCCTTCGTCGCTCACATTGTCGGAATCTTGGGTGCCTGCCCACCCCTGCGGGCGGGCAGATGTCCATACCCACCGCTCCCCATGGGCCTGGGGCAGGACTCTCTCTGGAAGTGGTGGGTGTGGGTCTATGCAGCTCTCAGGGGCAAGGTTCTGGGCCGGGTAGGCTCAGGGGGGAAAGCGTCGACCCCCAATCGCCCATTGATCGCCGACAGGGGCCCGACAGTCCCCTCCGCCTAGGAACATGCAGTTTTTGCAAGCGGGGGTCTCTCGCCGATCAATATCAATCGGCGATGTATCGCCGATTCCATGTCGATGCTTCCTCCCCCCCTCTTCCCCTGAGCCAGCCCCCCATTGCCGTTTCCCCTCGTGTCCTCTGGCGGTGCACAGCAGTGGGCGGTACGGTCTTCCGAGAAAACCACCCGCCTCTAAGAGGCCCTCCTGCCTTCTGGCCCCGCTTCTACCAGCGGCGCTGCCACGCGCATCCGCCATCGTGCTCGGGCGGGCGCCCAAGTGGGGGGGGGGGGCGGGCGCCGCCGGAGGGGGGGTCCACTGAACGTCCTTCCCCCGATGTCGTATTTGGGTGCGTTTTCTGCCTGACAGGCCAAAGTGCAGGCACTTGGCCATTAAAATGCCCGCATCTTGGGCTCGATGCGTCGGGGGGCCCCAGTTACTGTTTCGCAAGGGGCGAGCGGGCCCGACACCCTAACACACACACGCAAACACCTGCCGCTGCAAGCGCGGTGGCGGATACACGCCTTTGAGAAGGTGCCGATCCCTTCTGTGAGAGCCCCTCGTGCCTTCTCCAAGGGCCGCCCCCCTCCTGGCCATGGCCCATTTTGTACGCGCTGCCAGAGGATGCTCGGCAGCCTCCGGGCGGCCTGGGAGCTGGAGAGCCTCTGCAAGGGGCTGGGCCTGGAGCTGGGCGACCCCGAGGTCGTCCTGGGGCCAGACCAGGATGAGGCGACTGGCTCGCCAGGTAAGACGCCAGCGGCAGTGCCCGCCGCGACGGAAAACGGTCCACTCACGATCGCGTCGCCGCGTAGCCCGCCGCACCGGCTTCTCGCCCTCCTCCGGCGCCCCCGCCTCTCCTTCCCCCGCGTTTCCTTCCTCCCCGCTCCCTTCTTCTCCTGCTCCCGGCTCTCCCCTCCTGCCAGCCGGCTGGCTTAGGTCAACCCATTGGCGGTGTCCTCCCGAGAGCCTCGCGGCCCCCTGCTCCAGGTAGGCGCCTGTCAGAGCCTAGGAGGAGCTTTCTGGTCGTGGCAGCAGGCAT